CAGAGTCCATAATCCAACCCAGAGTACATAAACACTGACACGTTAACAATCAAACGTCTCACAAGGTTTAATAATTGCATGGTCTCTTGGTATTATGCGAAGAATGTAAAAACAGTTACCGCTCTAAACATAGTGCTGAAATGCACTCCATCTTTAAGGGATATGAAAAAGTACAACACATACTCGGTCTTACGCCCGAAGGCTGGATGGCGAAGAGCTAATAGATTGTACCAAGAAACCTCTGGAGCAGTGGAACTTTGAGCAATATTCAGCACTTTTAAGGAGGACAATTGCCAGTCTGTCTTGCAAGCTAGTAAACATCGACTTCGTGCCAGAAGTGACATGACAATTTATAGGCAAACTCTTGATATCAAAGGCTCAGTGCAACCCCGAATTTGCCGTGGGATGGAGGGTAATGCAGTTTTAAGTGGAAATACAGGTATATTCTCCAAAGACTGTACGCTTTGGGCTAACACTAAGTACTCTCTCCGTGTCTGTGAAAAGCAAGAAAACCAGTTTTCCCCAATGTCGGAAGTAGCTGTGGCATCCATGAGGCATTCTGATCTAGTGTGTGAAATAACGTTGCTTGAACCGTGCAAGTTTTCTTCTCCATCGCTCGTCGCACAAGAAAGTCCTCCTGTGTTCAAAATTAGCTGCACCTTTCCTTAAAACAAAATGAATGTCACAATCTCAAGGGAAATTCGAACAACTGTAAGGATTTTAGTATTTTGGTCAAAAGCTGGAGGGATTGTGGGATAGAGCAGTATGTGAATGATGATACTGGTATACATAAGTGGCTGGTCTACAGCATATTGTTGTGTGCTGTGTAATGGTATATGGGTTTTGCACACATGAAGCGATGTGTTCAAAACAGGCAACAATTATTGTTTTGTTATATCACGAGAGTATATTTAATGAATGCATGGGAACAAAGTGAAAAAACATTTTACTGTGTCATGCGCACTTCATTTCACTAAAATACGGGCGATTCACAGTATAGCGCGCCACCAGGACTATGCTGCAGACAAACAACTTTTCGAAACGCTGCCGCTGTTATTTTGGGGATATTTGATTGGTTGCGGCGTTCCCTGCACCACACGAAACCATAATTTTGACAACGTAACACCCATTCACAATAAGCAATTCTGAATTTTCGACCAAGATAACAAACGATTTCCAGAAACCTATATCAAATTCTGTCGTGGGTAACATCTCAAACTGCGGGGTCTCTCCTGTCATGCTTATGGGGATGCAGAATTTTGAACTGCCGCATTCGCACACACGGAATCTTCCGTATTTTTCTTCGTGCTGATGTTGTCCTGCTCAAGAATTAAATTTATGATCTCGTTTTGGAACGAGAGAAGAACCTTTTCCTCAAAACCAACCCGCTATCATCTGCCGACATTGCTGAGGTGGGATTATGCGAAATTGGACCAGTAAAAATACGAACGAACGATGTAAACAAAATTGTGGTCGTTCGCTTGTCGCCCAGCGCCTACACAGAGCGCTGAAAAGGGCAAATGCGCTTCACAAACATTTGTGAAGGAAATAATTTGACGTGCAAAGCCTGGGTTGCTTGCTGTCGTAATCATCGCATGTATTTGCAGTGCGCACGTGTTACGCGTACATGAAAAAGTTGATATTGTTATTGTTCAAATGTACTCTGTCGAACGAATGCCCGAAAAATTGCGTCATTATTTGCCCCTCCCTGCGCCCTGTGGAGCTGGTTGACGAGCGCATTGCGGTCGTAGCAAAAATAGTGCTTCACTTTCCCTCCACAGCACATATACCCTGTACCCAAGGCCACATCAATACAAAGACACTTTCGACATTGCAAAAAAATCACAGTAATGTACTGTACCGTTGGGTAAACCACAGCGGACATCGCTCATGACAGTATTCTTGCGGTCTGGTTTATACGTGTTCATAGCGTATCATATTAACAATTTTCGACCAATAAATCGCAATCTATTGCCGTGCTACATCAAACGATTAGGTTTTTACATACTCTCTCCCTTTTCACTCCTTCATTCGTTAGTTTACTTCATTGTTATCTTTGCGGCTACAAGCCAAATTACAAGAATACATTAAAGTACACCAAAAAATAGCAAGCACAAAAACATTAAACACAGTTATAATTATACTAATAAACAATTATACGAGTAAAATGGATCAAACCACGCAACTCCCTGCCATGAATATTTTTCATTACGGGAGGAATAAGGGTATCAGTTTGTTTACACTGAGACAGAGACTCAGCAAATTTACAATGTGCCTGCCGACGGTCAGCAAGGGTTTCAATGACACACGTTTCCATAGCGTCCTGATACAAATTATAATCATCACCAAGCATAATTTTACACGCTCTTTTTTTAACTTTTCTAAAATATGAACTTGATCTTTAGTAAGTGAAAAATTCCCCACCATTTCAGTATATTCTGTCGTGGGTCTGACATAACCTTTATAAACAACTGTTAATTAATCTATTGTAAAACCAAATTTAAGTGTGCGTAACATGTATAAACGCCTGTTTGTTTCTTTAACATATCACTAATCTGGGGATCCCAGTTCAAGTCGTTTTGATTGTTGACACTAAGGGTCTTTGTTGAAGACACAAACGCAAATGGGTTGTGATCTATAGTTAATGCTGGTATGGGCGGATTTCTCTTCAAGCAAATTCAATTTGAAGGTTACCAGTGACTGAACAAGGGCAATTCTCGGCTAAAGTAAAGTCATATATTATCCACGTACTTCCAAATACCAACATTATCATCTGGTGAAAAATCGTCGGACCGATTTTGGTACCTTGTGAAAGACCTCCTTTGGGTGTTTTGAAGTCAGATAATGTCTGATTATATGTTACCCATTAGAAATAAAACTGCAAATCCAAAGAAAGTAATTGATTCCCTTACCCCTAACTATAAAAATTTGTTAATTAGAAGTGTCTGCTCAATGAGATCGAAAGCTTTCGAAAAGTCTGCCAAAACAACAGTGCCCCTATTGTTGAGTAAATCAGCTCCACTATGTAAAAAATGCATCAAACTAATAGTGTAAGGTGGAAACCCTTAAACTTTATCACACTGAGTGATGTCTATTTTATACAGCTAATGTCGTCAAGCATTCAATTAACAATAAACTGTTCAGCAATTTCGGACAAGCCATCCGCCAGGGACACCGGCCTCAGGCTTTCACTATTTGCTGGATACTCTTCAGGAACGGGAATAACAATTGCCTTTTTCCACTGAAAAGGTACAATTACTTCATTATGTTAGCTTTTAAGAATATAAATGAACGGAACACTAAGCTTGTATGCAAATTCTTTGAGAAGCTGAGGCGGAATTCCATCCGGACTAGAGGCTTTGGATGTTTTAACCTTTCCCATGGGAACAGAAGAGGAGGTGGCCTAGGAGCCGGTAAAAAGACAGGGAGTTTGGTATTGTCTAAAGGTGTTAGACCAGAGGATACATGAACAAATTTGTCATAAATAGCCTTAGCAATGTAAGTATAATTGTCTGCACATACTCTAGGTATACTAAATTCGGTACGCTCTCTTTTGGTCATGACCTTCACCTGTTGGTGCCATTTCTTGGGATCCCATTTGTGTAAATGTCTTTCCCTCTCAGCATAATAGTTGTTTTTGGCAGATCTTATTTCAAGTTTCACTCTATTGCGCAGTGCTCGCCAATTACTAACATTACCTAAGCCAAATGCCTTCTGACGGGCATAAATCATTTTTTTTCTAATTTTAGGAGTGATCCAAAGTGTATCAGGGGTACACACTTTCTTGATAACTTTAGGAAAATGAGTTTCAATTTCTTCATTCATTAAACAATGAAAAGCATCAGTTTTAGCTTGTACTCCAACAGAGTTATAAACCTCAGTCCACTCCTGGTTTTGAATCCAGGTACCAAAACCAATCCTAGAATCTTTCAGAGCGCAACTTGATTTTATTACACACAGGTTCAATGCAAGGATTAAGAATTATGCAATTGTGGTCACTATTTCCAATGGGAGGTAAGCTTATAGGACCCGTATAGTACCTTTCAGTATCTGTAAAAATCAAATCCAAGATTGCCTGAGCTCTGGTAGGAAATTTTATGATCTGTTCTAAATCATTACTACTCATTACACTGTCAAGTTTAGTTCTATTGAAGTCTTGTACAATGATAAAAACCAATGTCAGGGTAAGATAACGCAATGATCAACTGATAAGTCCTGATAGGGAGAACGAGACGGATAGGTGGGCTGTAAGCAGCACGCACTCGTCGAACAAGCGTTTAGGTCGCACCGTAATACCCACAGACACTCAAGCTCCTGTTGTACAGTGACATCAGTTAACACCTTGGCACGGATAGGCTTCCTGATGTAACACCTCCTCCACGTTGGTGTTGTCGGGACTTTAAAAACAGGTTGTAGTTGTTGATACTGAGCGCTTGCTCAGGAAAATCATAATGGTGTCATGTCTCGTTGACAATGCAAATATCTATATTGTTCTGTATGAGAACAACCTCAGCCTCGTCAAGTTTATTGACTAGTTACTGGGCAATAGTCAGTAATACAGATGGCACTGATGCATGTTGTAAATCAGATGAATAGACCTGCCGAGGTGGGGAATTCAGAACTCTTGGTCTATCAGTCTTAGCCTCAGTGTTAAACGCACCAGGTCCAGAACGATTCGTTATTTTGTGTAGTTAAAGTAGGCCTACTGTTTTGTTGGGAGCATATATCAAGGACTCAAGCGAGGGTCACGGCACAGAACGTGGCTCTGTGCATGGGCCACAGCAAATTACTAGTGATAGCATTTTGATGATCGCCGAATTCGTGTAAGAAAAAGCAAAATTCAGCTGAATTTGCACCCGCTTTACTTTTACGTGATCAAGACTAGCCAGGAAATGCTCCAAAATGGTAGATGGAGCACGGAATGCCAAACTGAAGACTATGTGCCTGAAGTTCGCTTTTTTTCTGTGTTCAATTTTGTCTTCTGTCATTTCTTGATCCAGATCTCTTATGGCTCTCATGAACCTCACTTAGGAGACAGGTCGCATTATCCGTTCCTGTACCGCACCATTATGTCCAACACGGGCTATAATGACCCCCGGGTGCTCATGATTAAGCAGTGGGGATGGAAGCGTGTAGCTACGCTGGGACGAACTGAATCCACCATGGTAAGTTAATGCAGCAGAGTTTGGAAGTGATTGCCTTCACGCATCCATTTGTGCGACTGGACTTTCAACCGCTTGGTTTGGTTAATACCTGCCTTAGGTATAATAATATTTTACCCAAAACTATAGCTCTAGTCTGAAGAGGGACACACGTTAAGGGGTGGTGAAGATGATTGAAACGTTTGACTAGTAGTCCTACAGCACTTGTTACCTATGGATGGGGTAAATGTTAGCTTACAATCGTATTCTTATAGAAATAATAAATCAGATCTATTATTTCAACTAAGGATTGTCTTTGTCACCATTCATTTAAAATACATGGGCTGAAAACATGATACTAGAAATTGTCTTACGGTTATTACAACAATATCGTTCACGTAATACCAAACGAATTGCCGCTCTTTAGTAAGCGTAACATATCGCGGGGTATTTCTGCTGTCTGATACCGCGTTTCGTTATTGCGCGTGGTTTACATGGGCCTTTAGGGTAAAAGGCAGGGCTAAAGGGATCTGAAGTTCTGTTTCTCGTTTAAGTCGATTAAACCTAAGACAATAATTTAGCCTTGACCTTTTCAAGCGTTTAAAAAACTATGCTTCCCTGATTAAAAGAAGGAAACCTCCCTCACCGAGTTAATTCATTTATGTGCTTCGATTTAAAAAAAAATCACATCGGAAACTTTTGTCAGTGCTGTATAAGAGTATTGCACTGTTTACATTCTAGTTCTATGTAGTTACTTTAGGAATTTTGGGAAAAAATAATTTTGACAACTTTCCTATCATTATCACTATGCACTAACTGCAGCATTACAACTGCTTGACTTTCATTCTTATCTTTAGTTTTAATCTTATACGTGCATTTGTTAAGATATTTAGTGTTAATTTGACTTAGCAATTTGGTTGTTAGTTTTTCAATATAGCGACTCCCTTACCTGTTTTCAAATCAAGCGATCTCTATCTTGGGCGGACCCATAGAATGATTCTTTTGTTGAATTTCGTTCTGTTTACCAGGCAATGGAGGATATGCACACTAAGCTTATAAACAATAGCATCGAAATTATAGCCAAGGAGAATTTTGACGACGATTTAGTACAGCCCTTCAAGTTCTTTAAGGTGAGGTCTCAGCATAGGGTGAGCCATTGTTAAACATGAATTGAAATAAAAGTTCGTTGATTGAATGGAGCATATTGTCAATATTGAACAAAGCACTGATGAAGTGAATCTACAAATGTTCAATTCGAGTTTAAAGTTTAACGTCACGTTATATTTCAGTTACTTGAGTTACTTCTGAGTTTATCACTAACTTTGTACAGGAAAAAGATGTTCGGATTATCGTGGGAAACTTCTATGAATTTCAAGCGAGGAAAGTATTTTGTGAGGTGAGTAATGTGACCTTTAGTAAGAGTACCTCAAACGGATTTTTTCCAACTTGAGCAAGATGGAATTTGCGATCACATGATAATTTTAAAAAAATTGATCGCACGTAACGTGTTTGGTTTGATAATCTGGAGGAATACTGGTCTCAATCAATCTATGAATCAATCCCTCCCTCCCTTCCTCTCTCTCCC